AACCAGTGAAAGACAGCTTGAAATCGCTGGGATGGGACATCCTTCCGCACCCGCCGTATTCCCCAGACCTGACGCCATCTGACTATCACCTCTTCGCATCAATGGGGCACGCGTTCGCAGAGCAGCACTTCAGCAATTTCGAGGAAGTTGGAAAAACATCCTGGGCTGTAGTGCAAAATTTTTTTTTCAAGCTCTGGTAGCAAACGTGTTAAAGAACACCTCGCAGTTGACTTTGACCTTCACATATGTGATAGATAGAGGTCAACCTTTTGAGCAACCTTCAGAAGGTTTTAGACGGCGGTCATTGTTTATTAAAAAAATATTAACGAAAGAATTTCACAGTTTACGATCAACGAAAATATAAGCATCCACTCACATCGACTGCTGCTTAGAGTATTTCCGCTGAATCATCGATTAGAAAATTTTATATTAAATTAGCCAATCATCTATGTGGGCTATCGGAGCCCGCCCGCTTATAAACAGAATTTCTAATTGTTGGTCCAGCGGAAAGATTTTAGGCAATGGTCGATATGAATGGATATATTTAACGTATATCCGTTCTTTTGTTAATATTTTTTTAATGAACAGTGAGCGACTGGTAAAACTTTCGGAAGGTTACTTATGAATCTACCCCTAATGACCTTGACCTTGATGTCTGAAATCTTTCTTCTGGACTATTAATTAGAAATTCTGTTTATTACCGGGCGAGCTTCGAAAACCCTCATAGGTGACTGGCTAATTTAATATAAAATATTCTAATTGATTAATCCATGATACATCATATTTGTGAAACTTCGTTTACTTATAACTTTTGAATAAACAATGAATGACGGCTTTCTGCATGTTATTTAGAAATGTCCTTGATAACATACGAGGTCTGTTCAAAAAGTATCGCGAATTTTGAATTTCCGCGGGTTACGTATATTCGATTTTCGACTTTTTTGTGGCGTTATGTTGGTACTTATGTCCCTCACCTATGGCGACAAGTTCGGCCATTTTGAATATTCAGTTTATCTTTGACAGCTGTTTTGCTTGGACGTGTTTTGGCTCGTCTTCGATTTTTGCCTATTCCAAAAAATGGATCAAAGAATCTGTATCAAATTTTGTGTGAAAAACAAAATTAAGTACGCGGACGCATTCCGAATGTTAACTGTGGCATATGGTAAAGCTACCTTGGACCGAAGCAACGTTTGTCTGTGGTATAAAATGTTCTCAGAGGGCCGAGAAGATGTGAACGACGAAGAGCGTGCCGGACGCCCGAGCACGTCAACAACAGACGAAATCATTGATGAAGTGAAGAAAATAGTATCGGCCAATCGTAGAATCACTGTTAGAGAAGTTGCTGAAGACCTAAACATATCGATTGGCTCGTGCTATTCGATTTTTACTAATGATTTGGGCATGAGACGGGTCGCCGCGAAATTCGTACCAACGTCCCTGCTCACACATCGTTAAAATTTAAAAATTCCCGTTATTTTATGAACACACCTCGTACATAAAATGTATTATAAGATTTGATCTTAAGATATTAAGAATCTTAAATAAAATATTCCAAAACGAAGAAATATTTTTGGGTCCCACTATGCCCCATCTACAGAAATAGGGCACAATAGATCATTCGAAGGTTTCTTAGTACAACCTTTTGGGTCCTACTATGTCCCATCTACAATGCAATGGGGCACAATGGATCATTCACATACATCGAAAAAAATAATTGTATACAAGTAGAAAAGAGTTGGTTTAAAAAATCTGCTCATTGCTACTGATATTACAATTTCTTAATAAATCTACAGCATCATAATTTTTCGATATCTCAAAAACCATTAATTTTACAGGCCTTTAAAAAAAGTGTCTCGGTTTCTCTTATAACTTTTTTAATATCTCAATTTCCTTTTTATTAATTTAAGATAATTACTTTGTTTTTTCCTTGATAATAATTATCATCTTAGAATCTACTCTAAACAGTTTTTCTTCCTAGGTTGTGGTTTTTATGTCGCTATAAAATTCAAGGTTGTAATAAGAAACCTTCGAATGAAGAGGACACGAAAGTTTATTACAGTTTTTTCAGTAGAATTACATATTATAGGGTAGCGAATTCGTCTACATCTACGTTTGCGTCTTCCTTGGATTCGTACCGATTCTGTGTGCCGGTGCAGGATACGGATTGGTGAAGTTGCAAAATAGAAGGCGACGAAGATTGAAGATACTTCAGGAGGCGATTCAGAAACGAAATGATGGTCGTATCTGCGTCGATAAGATGATTGTACGTGAGTGGTTGCACGCGAACCATCGTCGTCTCGTAAAAGTGAAATTTGGGCCAGAGGCAGTGTTGCACATCGTCGATCGAAAGGGAGAAGAACTGCGCACATTCGACTTCAGCAGCGTTAACACGATAACTATGGAGGAATCACAGGTATTCCTTATAAAAATACAAGTTAATTTTAAATAAAACGTTTAAAGACTATATCGTCAAATTTCTTGCTTTTAACATTTTTTTATTCTAATTTTTTTGTTTATCCAGTTGAAAAGAACTAGGTAGGAATTTATATAGGAAATTTATGTGGAATGTTATGATGGCCCCTAGGGATTTGCGTCATAAACTCAAGTCTTAGGCGAGACTTTACATAGATTCTTATATGAACTTTCACGAACCATGTGAATTCCTATATAGATTTCCACACACCATATGGACTCCTATATAGGTTCACATGCGTTTCTATGAGAATCTACCTGGAAATTTTCAACAGGGTACTATTTCTTTGATCTTCTGATTTTTTGGTATTATTTTGCAAGATGGAACTTGCTGCGTCTTTCCTGAACTTAACTTTAAAAACCTTATATTTGAAATTTCAAGTTTAAATATTTAACGTTAATAAAATTTCACTTTGAGATTAATAAGTAAAATATTTAATGCCAATATAATAAAGGAAACAAAATAAAAATGTTTGATCAAAATTTAATTAAGAATAGATTGACTTTAAATTACTATTTGAATACCGTGTAGCGCAATTGAGTTTCTCGTATTCTATATTGAAAAGTGCCATCACATCACATCGTTGTATGAAGTACAACTGATGGTTCGAATTCTGCACAGTGCGTTATAATTGTTATTGTTTGAAGAGATTCTATTAAATTGGACTTGTTCTTTTTAGCTGAACCAGTGTCACACTGGAATTTTGTTCCTATTTCCTTAAACACTATATTGTACATTTGTTTCATTATGAATATAAAAAGTCCAACGTAATGCTGAAAAGAATTTGAAGCAGATCTAAACAGATCTGAAACTTTCGCTTACATAATCTTTGCAGCAACTTATTTATTATTATTATTTATTATAAAAAAATGAATGAAAGTCTATAAACATAATCTGTACTGCGACCGGATTTCCTGATTCGGTTTGGTCTGAATCGCCGGTGCAAAGACGCCGGGCGAACCCGGACGAGAGGGGAGACCTCTGGTCCACAACTCTATCGAAAAGAATGGGCACCAGATGCGGACTCGCTGCAACCACAAAAAAAAAATTGTATTCTTTGCACTACGATCTAATGTCATACACTGATTATTAAAGCTTAATGACAATATTTTCATATACGTCAACAATCACTTTCGGCCATGTTGAAATGGCACAACTACTGACTTCTATTAGTCAATAGCGAGAATTAATTCAAGCATAATATATAATGAAAATGTCCAGAAAACGATGTTTAAAACATGTTCTTACGAAACGAAGTAATATACAGGGTTTCCCATTAAGAGGTTTAATTTTAAATTTCGTGTCATTTGAGTTAAAGATAGAACTATCATTCCTTAACAGCTCACAATAAAAAGTATACGATTAACGACAATGAAACAATATATTCTTCAGCAACGTATAGAAATTGTGAATTTTCACTACAGAAATAGTGTAAATTTCGCGGAGACGGTACGTAAAATTCACTGCTTTTGGTCGTAACGAAGCATTTTCTCGTCTAGCAATTGTCTAGCAACTAACCTAACCAAGAAATTTGAGTATTTGTTGAAAGTATTTGTGTCAAGTTAGTAATGTAAAGACTCTAACTCGTGCTCAGCCAATCAGATCAATCGAAAACGTTGTTGTTGTGGCTGAAAGTGTCATAGGAAATCCAGGTTTGTCCATTCCAAGACGTTCGCAGTAATTGGGCATATCGCAAAACAGCCTGCACCATATTTTGCATAAAGATCTTAGCATGTTTACAAAGTTCAGCTGGCACATGAATTGAAGCCGGTAGACCATGCACAACGCCGTACGTTCGTTGATTGTTCTCTGGACGCATAACTTCTTGACGCTAAGACTTTAATTGGTCGTTTAGATCGCACAATTTAACGCTGCTAGACTATTTTCTTTGAGACTATGTGAAGGATAAGGTCTACGCTAATGCTCTGCAAACGATTCAAGAGCTTAAGGACAATATAAAAATGTTATTCACGAAATCGTGATGATTTCCTAAAAAAAATGACCATTTGTAAAATAAGTCGAGGCGGCCATTGATCAAATATCGTGTTCCACACTTAATCGTATAGTCTACACTTTGCATTGGAATAAAAATATCATCACTCTTCCAAAATGAACTTTGTTTTTCTAATAATTTCTAATAAAAAATGAAACTTCTTAATGGAAAACCCTATATAATTTATATATTTAAAAGAGAATCAATAAAGCCGTTTTTGAATCCCTTCCAATTTTTCCACTAAATAATTTTTTTGTATTGTATGTTTTTGTATTGCAATTTTTTTGTATTGTATGGTCACGTTAAGAATGCTAAAAATAATTATTATAGGAGAAAAATAATTATTAGATGAGAAAAAACTCGATCCATAAAGTCATAATTAATTATTAGTCTAGATATGCTACTATAATATCTAAGTCTTTTTTATGACTAATAAATGAATCAAATACTTTTGTTAATTATATTGCTCTGCCATCATACTAACGTCAGATTAGACTATAATATTTATTGTCCTTAAGATGAAAGTGAATGCAGCTCATGATAAAAAAATTATTTTTTCCTATTTGATGTGTTCTATATATTAATGGCGTTGTAATAAATTTTGTGTAAACACTTATTGAGTGTACAAGTATGACTACGAATTTTGAATAGATGGCGAAAGATTTACTGCTAGCATTGTGTTGAAGTTGGCAATACATGTATTTCAAAGATATGTAAGCAACTTTAAAATGTAGTACATATCATTTAACTGAAGTGTGGACAACTATTATTTTCATCACTTTGGAATGTCGAATTTTGTACCGGAAAAACGCCATTTGGGGGAAGTTTTACTTCATTATTTTTTTCTAAGAAAAGTGCAGCTGAAAATCATCGTTTGCATGTGGAAGTTTACAAAGAACATGCTCCATCGGTAAACATGTGTGTAAAGTGGTTTAAACGATTCAGAAGCAATGATTTTGATTTGGTTGATAAAGAGCATTGAAAGCCACCGAAAAAATGTAAAGATGCACAATTGGAAACATTATTTGACGAAGATGCATGTCAAACAGAAAAAAATTGGCTACAGCATTAAATGTTACCTAACAATGCATTTCCTTACGTCTGCATGCAATGGGAATGGTTAAAAAGTAGAGAAGTAGGGTGCCACACGAATTGGAAGAAAGAGGCATTGAAAAAAAAAATCATATGCGAATTGTTGTTGCAACAATAAAAAAAGAAAGGATTTTGTTACATTGAATTATTATTGGCGATGAAAAGTGGATTTACAATCCTAAACGCAAATCAGCATGGGTTAAGCCCGATGAACTAGATCCATCAACGCCAAAGCGAAATATCTATAGCAGTAAAATTATGTTGTATATCTAGTGGGATATGAAGTGTGTGGTATATAATGAACTATTGCAACCGTCTGAAACTATTACTGGTGAACGGTATCGACTACAGTTAATACGTTTGAACCGAGCTCTGAAGGAGAAACGACCGGAATGAAAGAATAGGCATGACAAGTTAATTTTACAGCATGACGACGCCAGACCACATGTTCATGGATCCATCAAAAATTATCTGAAAGGAGTGAACTGGGGAATTTTACCTCACCCGCTGTATTCACCAGACATTGCTCCCTTAAATTACTATTTGTTCCGATCCATGGCGTCGGCCCTTTCTGGAGAGTTCTTATGAAAGGTTCAGTTCTTATGAAAAAATTAAAAATTGATTTGATAACTGGATTGCTTCAAAACAACCAAACTTCTACCAGCGTGGAATCCGTTTATTGCCTGAAAAATGGGCCAAGGTTATGGCTTCCGGTGGAGCATACTTTGAGTAAAGTATAAATTATTTTTGTATTAAATCAATGCTTTTTTTTATCAAAAAATCCGTAAAGTCATACTTGTACACCCAATAAATCTGTAAACAACTAATAGTGATCACCTATTTGTGGGCTTCACTTTTTTATGGGAATCCATATGTCAAGAGTAATCAAAAAATTCATTTTTTCACTATAAGCTGTATTCACCTTCACCTTGGGGACGATAGGTAGATATGCTACGCACGCTGCTATGCCGCGCCTTCACACATGTACGCAGCTTCTGTTTTATGTGCGTATCCTTTCTATCTTCTTAGGACGGAGTCGCCTCTGCAGTCGCGTGCTACTGTCGCTGTACATAATTCTAGCTACATCTCGAAAACAAAAAAATTATATCGAAACAAAACAAATTGCATTTTAAAGCTAAAAATTGGTACTTCCGAGTGGCATTAATAAAATTTAGAAAAAAAATTTGCTGCCAATCTCAGAACGCCACAAAAATCTTCAGAATCATCATTTTTGGCCTCTTTGAGGCCATTTTTCTCCAAACTGTAACGTAATAGCCAAATTTGGAAAATAGATTCGTGTTCAACAGGCAAAAATATAATTATCGGAAATAACTATTCATATTCGTGTTGCAAAATGGTGTCGGACAGTGTAATTATTACTTTATGGGTCGAGTTTTTCCTCATTTAATAATTATTTTTGACATTCCTCATGATTATACGATATAAAAAAAGGGTTTAATGGAGATCGAGAGGGAATGCAAAAACAATCTTATTGATTCTCCTTTCCTTTAATTTAATAATAAATAAGTTTTTGAGCATACACAATACTAAAAACAATATTTTAAATTGTATAATTTGTTAGCTTTATGGTAATTTTATATTATATATTTATATATATAACTTTTTTATATAAAATTAAATGCTTTCAGATTTTTAAAAAAAATATAATACTTTCCATTAAAAAAATAGCGATCTTTACTTGACTTTGAAAAATTGTTTTTTTTTTAATTAATTTTATCATTATTTGTCCTCGTGGCCGTATACATTTTTTCTAGGACATTTTGCCGAGTTACCCTTATTTTTTAGATATTTGACTGTCAAAAATAAAGTGGGACACCCTATGTACATATACATATATAAAGTGTTTCATTTTAATCAATCACTCCGATAATTTTCGCTGGGTGAAGTGTAATGAAAATAATGTTTAGACAAAAATTGTAGGATATGGAGGGAGACGTACGGTGGTGACCTTAACTTTAATGTATGTGACAATGTTAAAAGTTTTAAAGTTAAATCAATTTTTTTAATGAAAACATGTATTTTTGACTCCAGAAATCGACAGAGCAAAAATTTTACGTAGAAATATGTGATCATGACATGGATAATTGTGACTTTAGTGAGGTTAAACAGAGTATATTACATTTTTTTTTAACGGAAATACGTAATTTTTATCTCCAGAAATCAAAAGAGTACCGAATTTCACGTAAAATATTTGGTCATGTAATGGGGTCCCAATGTCCGCAGAGGGAACATACATGGTTCGTCCGGAAAGTAATGTCAGTTGCGTTTTAACAGCTTCATTATTAGCAAAGTTTTTCCCGTTCAGAGAATTTTGCAGCAACCGGAACAAATGATAATAAGAGGGTACCGGTGAATAAGGGGGTGAAGCAAAACATCCCAGCCAAGCTTTAACAATTTGTTGCGAGTAGTTAATGAAGTATGGGGTCTGGCATTGTCGTGGTGGAAGACGACTCTTTTTCGATTTGCCAATTCTGGAAGTTTCGAACGTATTGCTTGATTCAATTTCGTTAATTGGGAGCAATATACAGTTGAATCGATCGTCCTGCCTGATAGTAAGAGCTCATAATAAATGAGCTTAATAAAAAACCTTTATAATCCCACCACACTGAGAGCATAATTTTCTTTGGGTACGATCCTGCAGCTTCGAGGTTGTTTGTGGTGGTTCACTGCTGCTTCCCCATGATCTTTTACGTACTTCGTTATCGTAGACGATCCACTTTTCATCTCCCGTAACCAACCGCTTCAAAAATGGATCGTTTTCTTGGCGTTTCAGCAGCGCGTCGCAGATGGAAATGCGAGCGGTTAAGTTGGCCTCGGTCAATTCGTGCGGCACCCAAACATTGAGGCGAGAAACGTATCCCAACTGACGCAAATGGTTTTCTACACTTGTGTGGGATATATTAAGTGTCGTAGCAATCTTTCGTACTGTTTGCGATGGATTTTTGTCGACGGTATTCTTTATTACAGCTGAATCAATCTCTGCTGGACGACCAGAACGGGACGCGTCACTAACATCAAAATCTCCAGAACGGAATTTGGCAAACCATTTTTGACACACACGTTCTGTTAAAGCATCGTCCCCATACACATTACAAATTTTCTTATAAGCTTCCGCAGCTCGTTTGCCTTTTTTGAAATAAAAAAGTAAAATATAGCGAAAATGGACGTTCTTTTCTTTCATATTTGCAACCGTGCAGTACGCACAATACTCTGGTATTAACCGGCGTATGTTTACAAATAGGTGAAGTGGAACGTCGCTTTTCAGCTGCGCAAGCGCGTTGTGCGATAGCGCTGTGGAAAAGAGATAGCAGAACGAGTAAACCTACTCCGATTAAAAAACCGAACGAACTTATTTGCCAACCCAATATATATATATTATAATATATATATATATATATATATATATATATTACGTATGATTATATATAATTATATATAATTTTTCATGATCATATATAATCTTTTTTTTTCGGGTAAGAATCTATGTGAATTCCTATATGAATTTTTGCTTACTATGTGGATTCCTATATGATATTTCGCTAACCATGTGGATATGGACTATTGCTTATATATACTTTTTTTATCCAATATGGATTCACATGAATTTCCATGGATTTCCGTGGGAATTCACATGGAAATTTTCAACAAGGAGTCGATTTATGCAACTATGTAATCCATAATTAATTAAAATAATTAATTGTATTTTCAGGAAAGCGAAAACGGACATCGTAAGGCTCTTGTGTTATTACGCATACCACGCGATTACGACCTTGTTCTTGAACTCGATTCACTGGCTTCACGTAGAAAGTTCATTGCAAAATTGAAGGCGTTCTTGGCATCACAAGAGAAACATTTCACACTTACTCAAGTCGCACGAGATGTCATGCTGGCAAAAGCAGAAACCAAAGAGCGCCGACAAAAAAAACTCGAACAGGTTTGTTTTTAAGGGCCTTTCTCTTGTATATATATTTACAAATTATATAAGTATCTAGATAGCCAGATCTTTTCAGGCAAATAATATTAAATATTTGTTATAAGTTTTGGCGTCAAAAACATTACAAATTTGTAACAGAGTTTAATTTATCACATGGTGTTGACAAATTACTAGCAGATATATAGCAAAGCATACGTATACAACTTGACGCCAAATTGACATTAAATACCAATCAAAGCTTGGTGACAATTTGACATTGAATTGGTGCCAAATAGCGAGCAAAAGTTGGTGACAAAATCTAACGCCAAATATCGAACAAAGCTCGATGACAAAATCTGACTTCAAAGTGACGTCAAATACCAAGCAGAACTTAGTGACAACCTGGCAGCAAATTGGCTCCAAATAGCGGATAAAGTTTGGTGACGAAACCTGATAACAAAGGCCGTAACAAGATATGAGTTGGATTGCCCCCGTTCAGATTTGATGCATATTAGGGGAGTAAATTGCTATCATTCTAGGGCTAATTTACTCCAAGTATTAATTTAAAAAAAACATTTTTTACAAAAGTTATAAATAAATTTTGCAAAATAAAAAAGTTAAATTTTTTCTAAATTGGCTTAATCGATCTTGATAGCTAAAATATGTTATGTAGAGTATTAAGACAGTTTTGAAAAAAAATCGAGAATCAATTCCGTCAATGAGAAGGGGATACAAAAATTATTGTAATTTTCTAACAATTTTTTTTGTAAATTATTTTTTATACCGCTGTCATTTTTTTCTGTAATATACTTACATCTTAAGTTTTTTTGTGTCATCCAAGTTAAGTTCTTTATACCCATCGGGATATCTAACGATTTATGTCTCAATGAACTGGGCATGGGCGAGTTACATTCAATGATATACCCAATTAGTTGATTCTATTTATTTAGTCTTAGGACATGAGATCCAGAGGAATTTTGCATTTAAGTCTCCTAGTAAGAAGCCGTGCTGTAGCAGATTCGAGACCAGTATATTAGAAGTTTCCAGTCATCCTTTGTATCTGTGTCCTACGGCTTCGATTTTTTCCTTTAGTTGGGAATATCCAGGTCTTTGTGGAATGATTCATTTGTCACATACCAGGGTGCATTTCTAATCATTCTGAGCATTTTTAATTGAAATTGCTGGATGATATCTATATCAGATCTATGTCAGATTTGTCTGCTATGCCCCATAACTGTGTGCTATGCCATATGTCCATATGGGCTTTACAATTATTTTATAAGTAGTTTATTTTCAAGACTTAATAAACAGTGGTCAACAGCTAAAATTTTTTTAAAATTATTTAAGACAATAACTTTTATAATACATGTCAAGGTTAAAGTCAAGGTCATAGGAGGTGAGTCTTTCTTTATAAGTTTATCCAAAATTGAATTATTAATTATTATTATATAATAAACAATTATAATCTCGATATGACATTTTGTGTGTGATAAATTTATATCTTTAGTTCTTTAGAGAAGCGTATGCTTTGACTTTCGGGTTACGACCTGGCGAACGAAGGCGGCGATCGGAAGACAGTGATACTGGTGAAGTCGTCACAGTAATGCGTACTTCGCTTTCTAAGAGTGAATTTGCGAGTGCTCTCGGTATGCGGCCTGATGCAGTTTTTGTAAAAAAAATGTTCAATATTGTTGATAAAGATGGCGACGGTAGAATTTCCTTCCAGGTATAATCATCATTTGTTTTTAACTAGTTTTATTATTTTTTTCGATTATCATAATAACAGTTTTCAATTTTCAGAATTGCAAATGAATTTTTCAACATGTTTTTACGATCTGTAATAATAATAATAATTATTATTATTATTATACGAGAACGAGATTGATATAAAAGTTACATAAAGCGAGAGAAGAAAGTGTCATTTACAATTATAATAAATTCTACTGTTTGATTAAATTAATATTAAAAATTTTATAACGGATACACGTTCGAAAAAAGGGAAATGTATTCCCGTGACGTATCAAAATTTTAAGTTCAATATTCGGAAAATAAATACTAAAATAAAAATAAGTATCCGTATCTTTATCTCTCTCTCTTTCTATTATTTCATTATTTCGAATAATCGTCGTATTTGGTCAGCTATTTCCTCACTTCTCTCACTATTCGCTCCTCCTCTCGCATTCCGCAGCGAATTTTTCAACTTCCACAATGTCGCACCATCGTATTACAAAAATCTTTTAAAAATATCGTAATTTCTCTTTAGAATTTTCTTCCATTCAAAATCCGATCAGCCGACTTGATCAATTTGTTCAAGAATAAATTTTACGCGTATCTGAGACAATAAAAAGTTGTCGGTCTGTTAAATTCTCTATAGCTTTTTGATAACAATACAGATCATGTATTTTGTCAGATGTTCAACTGTATATTTGAAACGTATCTGTAATGTATTTATTTACTTTGATGTATAATCAGATTTATTTACTTATCTAATATTTTTCGTTCTCAATTTGCAATTTTGCAACTTACTTTAGCTTTTCAGAGGGCTTACCTCTAAAGCGATAATAAACACATTTCTCTCTCTCTCTCTCTTTCTCTCTCTCATTGCTGATAAGATATGCGTTTATGGGAATGTATGACTCTTAAACTTTATTATAAAGTAAAACTCACATTTTTCACTGAAAATAACTTGTAAAAAGCGGCGTTATTTTTACATGTTACTGAGAACAACAAATTTCAGGAATTCTTGGACACAGTTTTACTGTTTTCTCGCGGCAAAACCGAGGACAAATTACGCATCATTTTTGATATGTGCGATAAAGACAGCAATGGTGTAATCGATAAAGAGGAATTGTCAGAAATGTTAAGATCGCTAGTGGAAATAGCACGTACTACGAGTCTCTCGGATGATCATGTTACGGAATTGATCGACGGCATGTTTCAAGTATGTCTCCATTATCAGATCGTCACAATAATTCTGCCTATACATATTAATTAAATCGATCGTGGTTTAGGATGCCGGACTTGAAAGGAAAGACTATCTTACATATAATGATTTTAAGTTAATGATGAAAGAATACAAGGGGGATTTTGTTGCGATCGGTCTCGATTGTAAAGGTGCTAAGCAGAACTTCCTCGACACATCGACGAATGTTGCGCGCATGACTAGCTTTCATATCGATCAACTGCCGTCAGAGGACTCGAAGAGTTGGACACGTAAACAATGGGATGCTATATCAACTTTCCTTGAAGAGAACAGGCAAAATATATTCTATCTTTTTATGTTCTATGTGATTACCATAGCTCTTTTTGTCGAAAGATTTATCCGTAAGTACTCGATTCTTTTTTTATCCGTAGCCAGTTTCACGACTTTCGGTTAACTTAACCAACCAGTTAAATGTCAACTGTTAATGGTTATTTCTGATGAATTCTGCTTAACGACAAATGCGATAGGTTAAATCCAATAGAATAATTAGCGCTTTAAGTTAACCGAAAGTTGTAAAACCAGCCCTAAATATCTGCTCAAATACTAATGTTACTGGAAAGATGTCTGAGTTTACGCAAAAATGTCTTTCGGTCAATAAAGTGATTTATTCGTTTTATTTACAAATCTCAAACTTTCTTTTTTTTATTCAGATTATTCTTTCATGGCGGAACATACAGATCTGAGACATATAATGGGCGTAGGAATTGCTATAACCAGAGGATCTGCAGCTGCGCTATCATTTTGCTACAGTCTTCTATTGTTGACGATGTCGCGTAATTTGTTGACGAAACTCAAAGAATTTTCGATTCAACAATACATCCCACTAGACGCACATATACAATTTCATAAGATTGCAGCATGTACAGCACTTTTTTTCTCTGTGCTGCATACAGTTGGTCATATTGTTAATTTTTATCACGTTTCTACACAGCCGATAACGCATCTCCGTTGCCTCACTAGTGAAATCAGCTTTCCTAGTGACGCGCGACCTACTATTGCTTATTGGTTGTTCAGAACAGTGACTGGTATGTAATTTTGCCAAAAATCACGGCCGCAAATAAATTTCTAAGAATTCGCATAAGCAAAACGTTCAAAAACGCGAATTGCATAATTACTTTGCTCCTTTCTCCTTGCAGGTTTAACCGGTATATTTCTCTTCGTTGTCATGACGATCATTTTTGTCTTTGCACATCCAACCATACGACAGAAAGCTTATAAATTCTTTTGGTCAACTCATAGTCTTTACGTGGTTCTGTACGCGTTGTGCCTAATTCATGGCTTGGCACGTCTAACAGGCTCACCACGATTTTGGGTATTTTTTGTCGGCCCAGCGATTATTTATGCATTAGACAAAGTAATGTTTTAGTCATATTTATTTCTCGAAAATAACATAACATTGAAGAACGATGCTTTCAATTTTCTGTATTTACACATAGATATACTCACGATGTTATATAAAATAATAAATTAGTTATGCATGCATCAAGCTGATGCAACAAATCTTGTATATTACAACAATGCAATATTCATTAAGAATTAGTAAATCTTGTCCAGTTGTTGCCTAAAATAGCTCAATATTTATGATTATAAAGCGATATGAGAAATAATTTATATTTTTGATATTTATGATTATAAAGCTATATAAGAAATAATTTATGTGCAATATTTTGTCAATTATCCTATATTGTTGTTCGTGTTACAGGTCGTAAGTCTGCGAACTAAATATATGGCTCTGGATATCATCGAAACCGAATTATTACCCTCAGATGTATTAAAAATCAAGTTCTACAGACCTCCAAACTTGAAATATTTGTCGGGTCAGTGGGTGCGTCTTGCTTGCACCGTCTTCAAGTCCAACGAGTTTCATTCCTTTACATTAACTTCAGCACCACATGAAAATTTTTTGTCATGTCACATCAAAGCTCAGGGACCATGGACATGGAAACTGCGGAATTATTTCGATCCTTGCAATTATAATCCGGAAGACGAGCATCCGAAAATACGGATAGAGGGTCCGTTTGGGGGAGGAAATCAGGATTGGTATAAGTTCGAAGTTGCAGTGATGGTAGGAGGAGGTATTGGGGTCACTCCTTACGCTTCCATGCTTAATGACCTTGTATTTGGAACATCCACTAATAGATATTCCGGTGTCGCTTGCAAGAAGGTGAAATGAGATTAACGTAAATTAAAACAAGATATATTTTTTTAATATTTTATATGCATGCGTTCACACGTGCACGCGCGGGTGTGTGTATGTGTATGTGTAGATGATATTTTTTCTAAATGTAATTGAATTATAAAAAAATTGTAAATATGTGTTACAAAATTTCAAACATATAGTCATGAAAATGTAAATTTAATGATAAATTCGAACTTTAAAAAAATAAAAATAACGCCTGTCTTAAAATACGGTGTTAGTGAGAAAATTTTCCTTGAAAAATTGATGTGTAATAATCCAAACAGCAAGCACACATTTTTTAATCATTTTATTTTAATCCTTAGCTGACCACTATTGATGACACTAACTGAAGTCTTCAAGACGTGAAAATGACGGTTTAATGTCACAAAGTTGACGTTACCAAAAATATAATCTATTTAATAAGAACATTACCAGGCAAATTTTTATTTAAAAACGGTTAATCGACAACTTTTGAACGAACAAGTAGAAGAGCTTTTCTCGTACGACACATTATACAGAAGGTCCTTGCCATTATTCGATTTTAGCTAAAGAACGAAGTTTAACGATGAGTACCGCATATGTTAAAAGATTCGAAGCTTTTCTTTTTCACGTATCTAAAAGGGTCGAAAATATCACGAGAAGCAGCTGTAAAATATATAAAAAGTCAAAAACGATTATAAGCAAATAAATAAAATTATATGAAACGGCGACCATCGCTGATGTTTTGCCAGACTTCGATAAGATATGGAAAACATCGAAAAAAGAAAATAAACGGATTATATGGATATTTTCTACAAATCCTCTAATATTGCCACATTAGAAATAAGCCAAATTGAAGGAAAATGTATTAATTTATAATTTCTTAAGTAGAAATTTAATATTGGAAATAATTATGAAATTTGTTATAATTAAATACTGAGTATTTTAGTAATTATTTGGCCAATATTTAATCACTGATTAAATACTGCAGGAATGAATTATTCTAATTAGAAAATATTGTTTGCAGCAATATTATATTAATACAAACAAGATAAAACAAATTAATATTATTTCATTTTATTTAAATAAAAATTTATCAGTTTATTTTCTATGTTTCTCATCTCATAATGTGTCTTTGATTTTGTAGCAAAAATTTATCTTTTTTCTAGACGTAGTCAGCGTTACTTTAAATTATAATAATCGAATAGGAATTTTGATCAATATATCCTGACTATATTTTGACGAATTCAATTTAAAAATTTTATTTGTACTATAGATAATAAAATTTTTTGCACAATATAACAAAG